TTGTTTCTTGGTTGGAAACCCAGCCCCTTTGACTGGAGCGGAGCCTCGGTGGGGCCTCCGTCACCCAAGCGACCGAAGCCATCGGTCTGAATCGGGGTGGTGAGGTGAGCCAAGGTCCCGGGACGCGGAGGAGGGACGGGAACGTGGAGTTTTAAAGACTGTTTCGGGAGTTTTCTAACAGTATAGGCTTGGGATGAAGGTTTTTCTTTTTGCTTTGTTTTTTAAGAGAAGCGCTTTTGTCATATAGGTAAAACTTGGTCTGAGTAACATTATTTAATACTCCACTTCTCGAGACTGTAGGGAGCTTCCTTTAGTCACAGGTTTAATCTTCATGTTAAACTAGAGGCCCGGTGCGCGAAATTCTTGCGTGGGGGGGGGGGTGGTTGCTCAGCCTGGCCTGGGCCCTCTCGCAGTCGGGAGCTCTGGTGGGGAGCAGGCCTAAGCCTCAGTTGGACAGCCTTAAGTTTGCCACTGGGAGAGGCTCCCGCCATAGCAGCTTGGGAGCCGGGCTCAGGGCTTCTGGCTGAGCAGCGCTTCCTCTGTGGGAGTGAACTGACCACCAACGGGGAGCTCCTGAGTTGAGCATCTGCCCCCTGGTGGTCAGTGGGCATCATAGCGCAGGTCGTTCTGCCGTTTGGTCAATTTTCATATTAGCCTTTTATTATATAGGATAGTAAGTACTAATTTTCATGATGAATATCAGAGGCTAAGCCTCCTACCTTCTAGTGTAACACACTGATAATTGGAGTGTGATGAAAATTAGGGGAGGGGGGGAGTTTCTATTTATTTATTTTAAATCTTTAAATTCTTTATTAGTTAAGGAATTACAAATGTGTCCTCATTCGCACCCATTAACCCCCATCCTCCTGAGGGGGGAAGTTCAAACCTGGGACCTTTCAGTCCGCAGGCCGACGCTCTATCCACTGAGCCAAACCGGTTTCGGCAAGGGGGGAAGTTTCTTATGGGCTTTTGAGCATCTGTGCAATACATGTGGTATTTGGTACACTAGGTATGATATCTTGTTATAGTTTGATTTTCCCCCAAAATGCTTTCTTTCAGGTGCAAAGTAAGGAAAGTGAAGTCAAAGACCATGGGAGATACAGCAAAACCTTATTTTGTGAAGCGTGCTAAAGACCGGGGAGCTGTAGAAGATGAGGATTTCAGAAGGGGTCACCCTCAACAAGATTATTTAATAATGGATGATTATGCCAAAGGCCATAGCAATAAAATGGAAAAAGGCCTTCCCAAGAAAAAAGTTACACCAGGGAACTATGGGAATACTCCTAGAAAAGGACCATATGCTGTTTCCAGCAATCCATATGCATTTAAAAACCCAATTTACAGTCAACCTGTTTGGGTAAATGACAACCACAGAGATCAAAGTAAGAGATGGCTATCAGATGAACTTGCTGGTAGTTCAGAGAGTTGGAGAGAATTCAGACTAGGACCTAGAATTCCTGTTATGAACCGACCAAGAAAAGACTCCTTTCAAGAAAGTGAAGATGGATATCGGTGGCAAGATGGAAGAGGCTGTAGAGCTGTAAGACGACTATTTCACAAAGACCCGACAAGCCTGGAAACCATGTCAGAAGTGGAAACAGGAAACCATGGTAATGTGTTGCAATCTGTCAAGTTAACAGCCCAAAGTCAACAAAGTCTTTTCTTTTTCATCCAAATGAGTTTTATTATTTTTAGCAATGCAGTTCAAATTTTTCATAGTTTCTGCTTATTTAGTATAATCATTTTAAGGATTGCAGTTGTGATACATGTGTATATTGGTCCCTTTAAAAGTTTCCTTTGCCATAATGCTCATTTTACTTTTGTCAACATATTTCCTGTTGGTGATTTTTACATAAGAGGGTGATCATATCCTCCTGGTTACTATATCATAATTTCTGAGTGTGTGTATATAATGTCTAAATCATGTATCACAGTTTTGTATTTGAATAATATAAATGACAGACTGTGAAGATTTTAAAAATCTTATTTGATATAAAAGCACAATATAGACTGCATATATCTCTTGCCACAGAGGGAGAGGTGGGTAGTCCAAGATTTTTTTATTTTTCCTCAAAAGTGAGCTTTACAAACGTGTTGAGAGATACTAGGTTTAGAAGTCAGAAATACACATAAAAGCTTTACCTTTTAGTTTCAAACCAGAAGCCTATTCTGAGTGCCCTACGTGTTTGATAATAATTGCCCCAAAGCATTATACATTTTTCTAAAAGGTGAATAGGTTTTGTCCATGTACCAATGATATCTGTAAACAGGAAAATTATTTTATCTAATGGACAGTAATTACTAAAATAAACTCATACATTTTCAGAAAAAAAACTAATATTTAGTCTGAAAATGCAAAGTATGCTTAGAAAATTATTCTTGGAAAAATGGGCTATTAGTTTGTTGACTTTGTTGTTTTAGTTGTTAACGTTAATCCTCACTGAGGATATTTTTTCCATTGATTTTAAAAGAGAGTGGAAGGGACGGGAGAGACAGAAAGAAACATCGATATGAAAGAGATACATCAATTGGTTGCTTCCCACATGAGCCCGACCAAGATCAGGCCAGGGATTAAGCCTGCAAGCAAGGTGCATGCCCTTGACTGGAATCGAACCTGAACCCCTTTAGTCTGACGGTCAACTCTCTAACCACTAAGCAAACTGGCCAAGGCTACCTGCTTTAAGCAACTTAGTTATGCTCTTTTCCCTTTCCTTTCCCTATTGAATGAGCTATTATGTCTTACTAATTTTACTACCAAAATTATTCCTGTTAATTTTACTACTGAAATCTGTCCTCTTTATATTCCCAGTCTGTAGTTCTTCCTCATTTCTGCTACCAAATCAGCCTAGCTAAACACTTGGCCTCCATCATCACTACTGGTTGGCTTCCTATTAAAAACAATTTCTTCCTAAAAACTTAAAGCAGTTCCTGACTGACTATAAAATAATGAGAAAAAGAAATGGAGTGCTGAGCCTGGGGAGTAGTGAGGGAGAGGCGGTTGACACTTTTTAAATAGACTGATCAAGGTAACCCTCACTGAGGTAGTGAGGGAGCCAGCACTGGGAATTTTTGAGGAAAACATCCTCCACTCCCACCCTGTGTAAAGGCCAAGTCTACAGAGCGTGTACATTCCAGGAAGAGCAAGGAAGCCAGTGTGGCTGAAGGAAAGGAGGCCATATAGAATGAGTTGCAAACTAGCTAGCACTTTTACAGGTTTTGGTTTTGTGTGTGTGTGTTTGTTTCTTTTAATTTAAATGTAGGTAGACAATGTTGGCACTTTCTAGGCCCTTTTCCTTCATATTACCTCACAATGGTATGTGTGTGTGTGTGTTTTAAACCTGTAGGACATTTGTCACCTGTACATTTATAAGTCTTAATAGGGAAAACATCATGTTCTGTCTTTATAGGGTCTTATGAAAGTATAAAATGGGAAGAAAAGGTGTTATTTTTTTTTTAAATAGGAAAAGCAAAAGAAAATGCTTTGAATCAAATAGCCAAAACAGAATGAGGTATTAGGAATCAAATGCATGGGAGAAATCAAACCTTAGCCTCAGAAATCTTGAAGCTGTAAAGAACTTGAAGAAATTGTCTGTCATGATATACCAAAGGTAGAATCACAATTTTACAAAGCAGGAAGTTGTGGCTCAGAGAGGTTATATTTATCCAGACTTGTTTATGTAGAATGGCAGATGAGGAAGTGAAACCGAAATCATGTACGTACTGTGCTGCTCTGGCTGCTAACTCAGCGTCACTGGACCTGCAGTCTGACAGAGGGAAACTGCACACGCATGGAATTTCTGGACTTTCGTTTGTGTTTTTCTTTTTAAAATTTTGTGTGATTTTAAGTATTTGTGTATTACTGTGTCTGTCGGACATGGACATTTTAACTTAGTTATCAGTAGTTGGTCTTTTAGAAAAGAGAATTTGATGTTGAGCAGCATTATGTAAAGAAAGGTTTATAGATCAAGAGTTCGCAACCAGAAAGATATTAAAAGGGACTGTTTACATACCAAAAACCTCTTATATGTATTTATGTTTCATTTTAAAAGAAGTTGATTTTAAGAGGTTTTGAATAGGAAATGCATTGTTACTGTCTTTTTATTGAAAGCTCCCGTGTTTTTTCTATGTGAAATACAGATGATTCTTTCACAAGTGCTAATTAAAGATCTTTTCAGTCTCTATTTCTTGAAAATCTTCATACAGGAAATATTAAGCTTTGGTATAACATTGTTCACTGTAGAGAGAAATTTAAACTTTGCACTACACTCAGAGATTCCTAAAAAGGATCTCATTAAAGGAACAGAAATTTTCCTGAAATCAAACTTGTCTTAATAAGGAAGGATCTTATTAAATGATGTGAGAAAATGTAGTGAAATTATCTCGAGTTGCTTTGTTTTTAATACTACCTATTTTTCATTACCACTTTCACTTCATCTCCCAATTTACCTAAGTTGCCAATTTATCGTATTTGGGACAGTTCCATTAATAATCTTAGCTGGAAAACATCCATTCAAATACACATGTCCTTTGTGAATGGAACAATGGTTCATATGCAAGTAAACTATGGGAACTTAGAATACTGTATATAGAGAGTTCATTCATATTACCAAAAAACTTGGGATAAGCCAGGTAGTCTAAATAATTATGGGAATTTTTTTAGCAAAACCCAGCTTTGCTTTCCCGATTCCCAACAGCTAGATTTTTATTTGATCATTTTTACTATGCAGGCCTGTGAGGTTCAGGTTATATTACCTTATCAGTACTGGTCTGTTCTAGTTGTGAATGAGTATGCTGCAAGAAGGGATTTTAATTAATTTTTTTTAAGTTTGTATGTTGTTACAAGGCTGAATTTAAGAATTTCATCTATGCTTTAATCTCTGTTTCAAATCCCTTTGCTTTGACTTAGCCATGTGTCTCTGCACAAGTCACTTATTTTCTTGGACCAGCATTTTCCCCATCTGTACAATGGGAGTAATTTTAGCATCCACGACAGGATCACTGTAGGGATTAAATGAGGCAATGCCATATAAACTGCTTGCATTGCATCTGTTGCATAATAAAATACTCTGTAATGATAGCTGCTGTTATCATCAGCATCAGACAAAATTTCTGCAGCCACCTACTTCTCTAGTAAAAACAGTAAGGAGTTAATTGTGGTCTCTGGAAGGAAATTGAAGTCATTCTTTCTACAAAATGACAGCAAATATAGTTACATTTAGAATTCTTGTGAATAGGAGAGAAGAGGGATTAAAAAAGGAATTTGGTTCTATATCAGTTAGTGTTTTGTGAACTAATATGGACTTTCTTAATGGGTATTGCACATGTTGGTGTAACTCTCTAGTGTTTGCCTAAGTGAGAAACTTCCGTCCTGAATACTGAAATCAGATGCATTTTTTTTTAAGTTGGTAATGATAAACAAATGAAATGAAAATAGACATTCCTGCCGAAACCGGTTTGGCTCAGTGGATAGAGCGTCAGCCTGCGGACTAAAAGGTCCCAGGTTCGATTCCGGTCAAGGGCATGTACCTGGGTTACGGGCACATCTCCAGTGGGAGATGTGCAGGAGGCAGCTGGTCGATGTTTCTCTCTCATCGATGTTTCTGACTCTCTATCTCTCT